GATATCACTTACACTATCGCGATAGGAATAATAGGACCCCATAGGTAGTACGCGGAGTATAGGAGGAGTAACCTAGGACTTACGAGGAGTATAGGGACTACTATTATTATAAAAGCCTAATAATAGCTAGCTAGGCTAACCCCGAACCTAAACTAGAGCTAGCCTAGATAGCTAGCTTATAAGATAAGTAACGACCGGGGTCTATATTAAGGTAGGACCTACTTCGGCGGTAGCGCGGAGGCGTTTACTACGGCCTATACTATAACTATAAATCTAATCGATATTAAAACTAGCGATAATCTTAGCTAGGACCGAACCGCGACGACTATAAATACGCTACTAAATAAAGTTAAGAGCGCTAGTAAGGTTACTAGGCGATGTAAAATAAGGACGCTTTAGGGCGAGTTTAGTAATAGGAGAACTACTAAGCTATAGCTTAGTATCGGAACTAATAGTGAGCGACAGGCGGGCTCTATGCCGGCTTTAAGACGACTATAGGTATAGGGATAGCGACGGTCTCCCTAGCCTTAGCTTAGATAGAGCTATGAAAGGGTAGCCGCCTTACCTTTACCCCTTCCCCTTATTAAAGGGGCCGGGGCTAGACAAGGCTAAGAAGATTAAAACTACTATTATCCCTACTATCGAGGACCGTCATGACGTAGGATGAAAATAGTTAGCGAGATTATTAACCGCTATAAGAGTCTTTTAAGTAATTAAGAGCGACTTAGGCCCGACCTAGCTAAGGTCTTAATAATATCGCTAAACTTACCTAGGTGCTTCTCTAGGGACTTATATATATAGCGGGTATTATCTATAAAACGGGTAAAAGCTAAGGCAAGCGTCTCGATATTCTTAGCGACTATAGCTAGACTAAGGGTAGACTTACCTAACGCGCCCTTACCCTTAGCGGCGGGGGCCTTCTAACTAGCGTAGATATAGGTTTTTAGGTAGCGTAGTAAGAACTCTTATACTAAGCCCTTAATAAGAGAGGGCGGTCGACCTTAGACTAAGCCTAGTAGAGAGTATAGGCGGCCTCGCCTTAGAGGTAATCTAGGATATAGATTAGCACCGAACTTAGACTATACTATAGTAGGAAGGGGTTACTTACCCGGTAATAGGACTAGTTAAAGTTAGCGTAAGCGATATACGCTTTAGCTTTTATAGCTAGTAAAGTTAGTAAAAAGTACTAAAGGTAGGACCGGCCTAAGAAAGGAGCGGGACTAATACTTATAGGACTAGTTCTAATAGCTAGTAAAGGACTTATAGGTAAGCTCGCTAATAAGGCGCTTAATATATATAAAATATAAGATAGAGCGCTTTAATCCCATTTATAGTAGCGACTTTCTTATAAGGAGGGGGTTTATGGAGGTAAACCTACTACCTAAGTTAGCTTTTAATTAGATATTATAAAATAATAGTAAACGAACTTAATATAGTGCTAGTAAGACCTAGGATATAAAGATAAGGCGGGTAAGAAACTAGGGCTTTTAAAGGAGAGGGTAGATAAAGAGGTAGGAGGTAGGTATATAAAACTAAGGGAGAGAGGCAGGTATATATACGCGAGCCGGGCGCATGAAATTAGTAACTATATACTAGACGGTAAATATAAGCCGCCGCGCTCTTAATTAGGAAGCCGCGTAGCTAGACTAGTATAATCTTAATAATAATAGTATCTATATAATATATTATTAAGTAGACCTATATCTTACTAAGTACCTAATATAAGCTCTTTATTTAAGGGGTAACTATATCTTATATAATTTAATATATTCTAATACTATAATTATTATTAGGAACGCTATATAGCTAAAGACCCTTAAATATATAGTATTTAGTTTAATATCTTTAATATAGTAATATAATAGATTATTTTCTTTTATCTAGGTCTACTAACATATATAACTACTAGCTATAATTATATAATTCGAAGGGTATTATATTAAGTAGGTATACCGCTATATAGTATATCTTTAGCTATAGCTCTTTTAAAAGTTTTAAGTTAAGCTTTATAACCCTTACTTTTTCCTTTATTATTACCCTTAATCTCTTTATATAACTATTTTATATAAGCGTTAAAGGGGCTAACTATATAACTTATATCCCTTTATTAGTTATATAATCCTTTTATTTTATTATTAAAAGAGCCCTTTCCTTATTAGTAACTAATATAGTTATTTTAACTCTATACTAAGTCTTAAGTAACGCTATAAAGTTATTAAAGATATCCTTAATACTTATTTTTCTTTCTATTAAGTAATAGAACCTTATAAATATATTTATATAAGTAAATAAAGCGAAGTTCTTTTCCCTATTATATACTATTATAGGGCTAAGGTAAAGGTTAAAGCTAACTTATACCCCTAAACCTTTAGGCCTTAAAGATAGTATTTTTCTTAAGACTTCCTTCTTAGCTTTCCTTATTACGTATATCTAATAGCTATATATTATAGGGCCTTAAAGCTTAGTACCTAGGTAGGCTTTTAATAGCTTCTCTAGTAATCTTAGACTAAGATACCTAAGGCGGCGATATTATAGGTTACCTACCCCCTTAGTTAGCGGACAGGCGCTTAAGTAACTATAAATGCCTACTTATATTATAGGAGTATTCTTATTAGATTAACCTTAAAGTCAGTTAGTTTAATACGAACCTCTTTTATAGGTTTTAAATAGAGTATCTTAGGAGCTAGTTCTAGAATATCCCTACTATTATCCTTAGCCTAGCTAAGAAGATGCTTATTAGTATTTCTAGGATAAAGTAAGTATCTAATAAGGTTATCTACTATTAATTATGGGATAACTACTATTCTTATTCCTTATACTAAGCTTATCTTTAACCTAGACTTTATTATTAGAACCCTACTTAAAGGTTCCTTCCTAGAACTAACCTAGGTTATTAAAGAGGTTAATATCGGCTAAGTTATATATTAATTTATGGTAAAGTAATAGCGTTCCTTTAATAGCTATATTTACCTTAGATGAAGTAACTATATTAATAGTCCTTCCTATCCTATTATTACTAATAGTATCTACTAGTTCTCTTCCTTTAAGGTAGGAATTGGGGTCTAGGCTATATTTTACTTTCTCGTTTAGATAGTCTTTTACGTTTTTAATATTCTACTTAGCTAGATTACTATATTTCTAGCTAACAGAGCTTCTTATTATATATTACCTATAGTAAGTAGTAATTTTCCCTACTAGCTTATTAAGCTATTAACATTACTACTTATAAGCATTTAGCTTATATCTAATTTCCTGAGATTTAATTAATGCTTCCCTTTTTATAGGTAGTTACGACTTCTTCCTATAAGTATATTCTTATTTAAAGTTAGCGATTAAGTTCCTTAAGGAAGTTAATCTTTACTATATCTTTATTATAAGGTCGAGAGCCCTTATTATATGACCAATATAGGTCCTACTTATCTACCGCTATAAGAAAATCCTATCTAATTCTTATATCGTTAAGTATATCGACCTTAAGGTCTTATAAATCTATAATAATTTAGTCGAGCTATTCTACCTATATTTTCTAGTCTCGCGTGCCTCTTTTATTAATAGAGGTTATATATCTCTTATAAATTAGCTTTTTCTCCTCTACCCTTAAGGGCAGGGCTTACTTCTTTAATTCCTTAATTTTCTCTCTTAGGCTATTATATATTAAGGTTATCTCCTAAAGCCCTTTATTAATCGTTTTCTTAATTAATTCTTTAAGTATAATTAAGGCTTTCTACTAGACCTTATAGCGATCGAATTATAGCTAGAACCTTTTCTTAAGGTTATAAAAGAAGTCCTTTATATCCTAGTATTATTTATTATAGCTTTATTCACTCGCTAGAATATAGCCTTAGTTTTATCTTCTCGTTAAAATAGTCTCCCTCTAAGGTTAATAATAAATTACTTTTAGTCTAGCTATTAGGGCTATTTAAGCTCCTTTATATTATCTAGGTTAGTATATTCCTAAATCTTATAAGTCTAGGCCTATAATTTAATCCCCTTAATCTATAGGGTCTAATTAAGGCTTTCCTTTAGTCTTATAATATAATTATCCCCTCTTACTTCCTTTAACGTTATCTTAGGAAAATAAAGGGTTCTAGCTTAATAAGTAATATCCTTTTTTAAGGGATATATAATTTATATAATTTATATATTTCTAGTAGTTCTTATAGTATAGCTAGGTTCCTTGCATAATACTATAATTTAAGCGTTATAACGGCGTTAATAGCTTATAAATAGCTTTAAAAGGTAATATCGGCGGGTAAAGATAATCTAGCTATATAGGCTAGCTTATAACTCTTAAGTAGTAGCTTAAGGTAGTAAAGAAATAAAGGGTATAAAAAGGTAAATTTAATAATATATCTTAGTCTATCTATTAAGATAAGAGGGCTTATAGGTATAGTAACTATATATAGCTAGCTAAAAGAGGGTATTAAGATATTCCTATACCTAAGTTAAGCCTATATAATATCCTTAGGCTAAGGGAGTTATTGTCTGATCATTTGTACGATAGAGCGCACATCGCAGGAGGGTATCACGTGCGTCAGCAGGGAACAACGTTTACCCGACACGCGCACAACCTATCAAACCTCACAGCATGGTCTAGATAGCGAAGAATAACAAGAACAACACGATCATCGATCAAAGACCCAACTGAGCCTCAGTTAGCCTATCCACACTGATCAGTTGTTACCTTGGCTGGTAACCTCAGAGCAGCAAGATAGAAGAGACTTCCTCAACGCATCCTCACGATCTGTGGCGCTCTGCGAAGAAGAAGTGCTACAACGCGAGACTGACTACGAAGACCCGACCGGCGCCCTCTATTCAGTCAACCGTGCCTAGTTGTTTGCCTCAGCCGCTGACCTCTTAGGCGTGCCCTATCGCACATACAAATCTCTGGTATCCCGCTTGATTATCAGCTTCATTGATCACTCTCGATCAATTTGACCCTCTTGACACCTTCTTGCCCTATTCCTCGCAGATTTTCCTGTCAAGCCCCATCCGACATCATGAGCAGCAGCGCAAGCGGCACCAGCGCGAACGCGAACGCACCGGCGCTCGACATCAACGAATTCCTCGATATTGCTGAATTCAACCGTGGCCTCGCCACAATCTTCAACATGGACCTCTTCAACACCCCAGTCAACGAGACTTCCGATGAGATCCACTATAATACCTTCGTTCTCGCCCATCGTTGATTATAAAGTCTCCTCAACATGTCAAGGTCTCGAGCTGCTTGGATCATTCCAAGAAGACTTTGAGGATTGGGAGGAAGACGACTTCAAGAAGGTCGATCAAGGGTCCGTAAGGTCCTACGGAATACCCTAAGGTTCAGAGGAATCTATACAGGAAAGCTGAACGCAAAGATCACGGCATTCCTAGTAAATCTGAAGAACCGTGACCGACTTCCTGAGTGGGATGAAGACGATCTTCGTGATGCCATCTTATACGAGAAAACGGCCGCCTACCGACGCCAACAAGAACTCCTCAGACGATCGCCATCGCTAGCAACAACCCCAGCACCAACCCCAGCACCAACCCCAGCACCAGTCACTCCCGATCTAAACCTCCCGCAAGACCCCCAATGACCAATCCTACCCCTGTCACGATCGAATCAACAGCAGCAGGAACTTATGATCAGACCAGCTATCGACCGCGAAGCTTACCGGACCGTGCCCCAGTCCAGGTCCCAATGAAGACCTCGATCCTGCCATCGCCAACCAGTTTTCTAAGCTATGGGATCAAAGCTCAACTATTCAGGTGACGCCTACGATATCCTAGATGATAAGATCCGTTACTTTCTCGATGCCTGCCTCACAGCTAGCATCAAACCGTCACAATTCCGCTTTGCTCTCAAATATCCTCACGAAGAGGCAAAGAACTTCTTCGTGCATCAAGTCAGCCGCGATTCAACGTTCGCGGAGATGTATCAGAAGATGAAGCAGCACTTTGATACGGAAGTCAATAGGCAACAGTATCACACTGACTGGACCTCGATCAATTTCACACAGCTTCGGAAGGAATCTCCCGAGAAGCCTCTCTGTGAAATCCTCCAGGCTCTTCTTGACAAATTGCAGCTATGCCAGAGAGCTCTTGGGAATAGCTATGGCGGCGAAGACCAGCTAATTTCAACGACAATTCGAGCATGCCGTGGCGTGCCTGAATTAGAATTCGCCCTCTTCGTGCCGGCTAAGACCTTCGAGGACTATCTTCACAGCTAAGATCGTCACTCAACCGTCAGCCAAAGACAGCCCGGACAGCCCAGTCAATATCTTCAAGATCAAGACCAATTCTTTACTGACCGCCGCTATCAGCACCCCGCTGACAAAAGGAAGAAGTGGACGAAGCGCTGCTACGTCTGCGGCAAAGAAGGCTGTTTTCAACGAAGCATCCGGATGACGAGAGAAGAGGGCCAGGAAGATATCTTCGAGAACGAGGATTTCACGGCCAGAAGTCATCTTCCCGTCCATTTACTACGTTCCTTGCCGATTACGAAGGGGACCCAGATGAAGATCAGACCTCTGATTCTGCTGACGATGACTCTGACGATCAAAGCGATAGCTTCTTTGCAGCTGCCTTCCTATCTAATAGAGCTTTTCGCCACCGCATTCACACCGTCGAGGAGAATCGATATGCGAGGAATCACAGCATTTCTTGCTCGATCGCTACAACCGGACCTCTTTCCAAGGGATCCTGCCTGACACGGGTGCAGCGAAGATATCTACAGCTGGGATCGACCAATTCCGCGCGCTCCAACGAGAGATGCGACGGTCCAGCTACGGAAGAATGCGACGATCGCAACGGTCAGATTCGGTGGAAACGAGCCGACGAACAAGATCGGATCACAACAGTCATTACCCCGATTGGAGAAGTCGTTTTCCACGTTATCAATATGTCAACGCCCTTCTTGCTATGCCTCAAGGATATGGACCGTCTCGGTGCCTATCTCAACAACGTCACGAACGAATTGATCTGCGGCGATAAGAGGATTCCGATCGTACGCAAATGGGGTCATCCGTGGTTCTTCCTACGGAAGGATGAAGCCGCTATTGCCTTCCTATCCGAAGCCGAGCTTCGGCGCCTACACTCTTTGGCCACCCGTCAGTACACAAGCTACATAAGCTACTGACAAGCGCTGGGCATGATGTTGAATTCGAAGCAATCGCGATGATCCGAAAATTCTGTCATTTTGCCAGATCAAGGCAGACGCACCGCGCAGGTTCAAATTCACGTTAAAGGATAACTGCGATTTCAACTACGAATTGATCGTCGATGTAATGCATCTTGACAGCCGGCCAGTCCTTCATGCCGTTGACCTAGCAACCTCTTTCCAAGCCGGACGATTTCTTCAGAATATATCGGCTAAAGAGACGTGGAAGCACTCAAATTGTGTTGGATTGACACATACCTAGGCCCTCCAGATGTTATCACGCACGACGCTGGTACGAATTTTGCCTCCTCTGAGTTCCAAGCAGAAGCGAAGCTGCTAGGAATAACCTGTCACCAAGTGCCCGTCGAAGCCCACTGGTCAATTGGCAAGGTGGAGAGATATCACGCCCCGATTCGAAGGGCATACGAGATCTTGAAAGCCGAGCTAAAAACAGCATCAGCTGAGTCGTTGCTTCAAATGGCCTTCAAATCCGTCAATGATACCGCCGGACCTGACGGTCTAGTGCCCACACTACTAGTCTTTGGTGCCTACCCTCGGATAACGATGGATTCGCCGCCTTCTGCTTCCGCGATCACACGTGCGAAAGCCGTGACGAAAGCTATGGCAGAGCTACGCAAGCTTGTAGCTAAAGGAAGGTCAATGACGCCCTCAATGCCCGTAATGGGCCCAACACGATTGAGAAGATGCCACTATCATTGCCGCTTGGTAGTGAAGTTCGAGTATTTCGTGAGAAAGGAGATGGAAAGGCCCATACAAGGTCCTAGCTGTGACAGACACAGAGGTCACAGTTGAGCTAGACAACGGGCCAGCTAAATTTCGCAGCACGGCTGTCCAGCCCTACTTTCGCCACCCGGATTCGCAGCAGCAACGAAGTCACGATGTTCTACAGCAGCCACACGCTGACAATCAGACTGCTGACAATCAGGCTGATAGCATCAACGTTGAGACCGAAGTGCCTAAGCCATTCGAATATCCCGAGCCGGAGAGACCACGCAGACGCGGCAGACCAAGAAAAGTCCGCGTTCCTTCTAGTTATTTCCTTAGTCTTAGCCCTTTTCGTTACCTCGATCTCAATTTCACCCGCTAATATGTTTCTATCGCATAAGGAGTGCGCCGCCCTCGACCTTGCCGTAAAGTTACGTGCAGAGAAAATCACTACCGCCGGACGACCGTTTGAAGCCTCTGATGACCTCGAAATCACGAACCTGCTAGGCGCAGGCGTCATCGTGCCCGAACGATACGATATGAATAAGCATGGAAAACACAGGCTATTCAAGTCACGAATGGTCCGGGAGGTCAAAGGCAAGAACACTGCTACACCGTACGAGAAGTCTCGTCTTGTGGTACAAGGATATGGTGACGACGAGAAGCGTGAGATCCTCACGCAGGCTCCAACAATCTCCCGTCCTGCCCAGCGGGTAGTACTCGCTCTTTCCCCTTTCCTTTGCTCTTTGAAGATGTCTCTTGCTATCCGAGACATTACGATGGCCTATACGCAGGCATCGACCACTTTGAATCGCACTATCCTCATCTCTTTGCCACGAATTAAAGAGATACCCAGGGGAACCATCCTTCGTGTGGTCAAGCCATTGTACGGAATCGCTGAAGCAGGCGCTCATTGGTTCAATACGTATCATGAGCATCACCGCATCAAGCTACAGATGGAGCCGTCAACGTTTGATCCATGTTTAATGATAACGACCGCAGAGATCAACGTCACGACCGCAGAGACCAACGCGGATACCGCACTTCAGGTTAATGCCTTCGGCGTTGCCGCGCTTCAGACTGATGATACGTTATTGGTAGGCACAACAACATTCCTGCAACGTGAAGACCGCGAGCTATGCTTCCAAGCCAAGCCAAAGACCCTACGAGAAGGCGATACCTGTGATTTCAACGGCAGCCTCATTGCTCTAGAGAAGGGCTATCTTCTAGTCATGCAGAAAGGTCAGGTCAACAACCTCAAAATTATCGATCTATCCACGGAAGATCGGGCCCAACGATACGTGGAACAACGTGCCCGTGGCGCCTATATAGCCTCAATTTGTCAACCAGAGGCTAGCTTCGATTATTCAATCGCGGCACAATCACAAGATCCAACCGCGGAGGATTTTCAGGCGTTGAATAAACGGATCCAATGGCAGATCGACAATCCACAAAGAGCCTTCGATTCGTCCCAATAGGTCTAGAAGCAGCAAAGGTCTTCGTCTTCACAGACGGATCATTCGCCAACAACAAGGACTTAAGCTCTCAGATCGGATTCGTTATAATCATTGCAACCGAGACTAAGTCAGATGAGTCATTCACGATCCACGGAAACCTGATCCATTGGAGCTCGACGAAGTGCAAGAGAGTCACCCGCAGCGTCTTGGCTTCTGAGATATATGGATTAGCTTCAGGCTTCGATTTGGCATATGTGGTTGGGGACGATCAACCAGATTACAAGCCGCCTTGGATTACCGCAAATCCCGCTCGTTGTGTGTACAGATTCGTACAGCCTGTACGAGTGCCTAGTGAAGCTTGGCACCACCACGGAGAAACGTCTGATGATCGATATCATGGCGTTGAGACAGGCCTACGAACAACGCGAAATCACCAACATCCGCTGGATCAACGGAGCGGATAACCCGGCCGATGCAATGACGAAGCTATCTCCAAACGGGGCCTTGATTCGTTAACGACAACGAGATCACGATCCGGCTCGAAGGCTGGGTTCAAAGGAAGGAAGATATGACCGCATGATTGACGATTTTGATTTAAGCTTGCTATCGATTGTTCCTTTGTGTTGAGATACCCGTTTTTACATGTTGTTTGGGTGTTACGTTTAGTGCGTTTTGTTCGATTCTTAAAGAGATGCCAGTGTCTGATCATTTGTACGATAGAGCGCACATCGCAGGAGGGTATCACGTGCGTCAGCGAGAACAACGTTTACCCGACACGCGCACAACCTATCAAACCTCACAGCATGGTCTAGATAGCGAAGAATAACAAGAACAACACGATCATCGATCAAAGACCCAACTGAGCCTCAGTTAGCCTATCCACAGTTATATTATTTAGGTAGGCTTCATATATAACTATTAGGTCTACTAAGTATAACTATAGCCTTTATACTTACTCTCTCTCTCCTTAATAAATACTATATACTTGTAGTACTAGTATTATATATAAATTATAGAAATTTCTATTCTCTAAGGTTTATAAAGGATTTCCTTTTCTTTTACTTTATATATAAGGTCTTTAATTTAAAAGGAATTTAAAGGTCCTATTTACCTATTATTAAATATAGCTTTTTTAAGGATATTTAAAGAGATATATACCTTTACTTTTTCTTTAGAGCTTTTATAACTTCTAAGGGTAAGAGGAGGAATAAAAAAATCGATTTCCGGTTCTTTATCTATTTAATTATCGATTTCTATTTTTTCTACTTTCGATATATATAGAGAAGAGGGTTTTTTCTTCTTCTTATCGACGTAAGAGTCTAATTTAATAGGATTTCCTTCTATAGAAGGTTTTCTAGGAAATCCCTTACCGAAGTATTAAAAAGCTCCTTTATAAATAGGTAATTTAAGGTAAAGGAAATAAGGTTATATAGGTTTTTTAACCTATCTTACGCCTCTTTAATACTTATTATATACTTAATTTAGGTTAAAGGACTATCTTTAATATAAAGAAAAATTAAAGTAAGTGCTTCTTTTATCTTTAAGTAATTTTCTTACTATATAGTAGTAGAAAGCTTCTCCTTAACTAAAAGAGCCTATATTTAAATAGCCTAGAAGGTATAGTTAGAACTACCCTTAAGTTTAGTAAATTTAAACTTATCCTAGAGCTTATTTTAGAAATTCGAGGTCGTATAGCTTATATTAGAATTTCGAAGATTTTTCGAGTTATTACCTAACATAGAAGCTGGCTTATAACCTATAAAAAGGTAAGAGTAATAAGCGTAGAATCGGGTTATTAATAACGTTACCGGAAAGATCGGTCGAAGGAGTATAGGGTAGGATTTTATCCGGAATTTAGAACGAGTATATAAGGGGCTAAATAATATATTAAAAGAATAGCGTTATAAAAGATACTTATAAACTTACTTATTCTATCTACTACTGCTAGGGAAATCCTTTGTCTTTTATAGACTATTGCTCGCCTACTAATAGACTAATTAGTTAGCTTTCTAGTATATTTTATAGTACTTAAAAAGCTCTATCTATAGTATATCTTCCTAACTTAGTAGGTAGTCTAATTATAGCGTAATAGTTAACGTAAGACTATAGGTTCTAGTATAAGTAGTAGATTTAACTAGAATATTCTATGCCCTACCTTTTCTTATATCGCGGATATCTTCGGAACCGCTAGGCTAAAATAGGCAATAAGGTATCCGTTCTACTCGTAATTAACTTATATATTTTATATATATTTTTATTTATAAGGATAGGCTTATCCTAACCCGCTTTTCCTAAAGGAAGGTATAGATATCTAGTAAAGGTCTTTATCTTTAAGGGTTATTCCCTTAGACTATATTATAAAGCCTCTTTTTACTAGCTTACTTTATAAGGCCTCCCTATACCTATTATTTCTTTATAATAGTAAAATTAAAATATAAGGGTATATTCTTATATATACTATACTCTTATATTAGCTATAAAGTTATATTAATATATACTATTTAGTTATACTATCTCTAGCGGAAAAAAAAAAACTTCTCGCGAAACCGATATACGCCCGTAGCGGGTACGTATTGCGACTAAAACACTAACTAATACTAGGAATTAATTTAGTAGCATTAATTACCCTTAGTAACGATACTACGCTG